TTATTTAGCTAAACCAATATCTAATAATCAATGACATAGTATAGATAGAGACATAGTTATTAATTCTCATAACATTTCTATGATTATCACATTATGCATATAACCTTCTAATGGGATCTACAAGCAAAGCAAATGCATCTCACTTGTACAATATAATATCATACAATTAACCATTAGTTTCCTGGTCCCTCAAGCATGAGAAAATTGGGATTTAAGGTTTTTTCTTGACAAACCACCTTCATTTCCTCCATTTAAAACCCAAGATTTTCTACATTTTCAAAGAAATTGGGGTTTGGTTTTCTCTTTATCTAAATAATTAGAATTCAAAATGTCTCTCTTATAGGTAACTGAATTTGAAAGTTGCTCTCTCTTTCTATCTCTTTCTCCACTTCTCTCACAAAAAAAATTCCTAAAATCTCTCTTTAATCTAAACTTTCCCATTAAAAAGTAGCGATAGAAGCCTTACCACATTATTTCAAAGGGATAAACTTGGAACGAATTTCAAGGAATATATTTATTTTTTGGAAGATACTACAAAACACCTATAGACGAAAATGAACTGTGATTTCGCCTACCCTCATTGTCATCCAAACTTCATCGCACTGTTGCAGTTGTCTGATAGTGTTTTAATTTTCATTTTTGGTTTTACTAATTGGAATGATATGAAATTTGGAGTATGTGTACATCTTAGTGAGACACATCTAATAAAAATATGAAAAAAATAATTAGTAAAATATAAATTGACCAAAATACCCCCAAAACTTTACGGGGGTATTTTGGTTAATTTATATTATGAATTATTTTTTCACATTTTTATTAGATGCGCCTCACTAAGATGTACGCAGGCTTTAAATTTCAAGTAATTTGGATTTGTAGAAAAATCAAGAAAATTGAAATACTGCCAGACAACTGTGATCATGCGATGAAGTTTGGATGGTGATGAGGATAGGCGAAATCACTGTTCATTTTCACCTATAGGTATTGGGAAGAGTTTTCCTTATTTTTTTGTTAGATTTAGTTAACAATATGGAAAGAGAATATGTTAACAGATAGGTACGTGAATTCAATTCACAGGTACGGGACCCCTTCCCCATTGAACTATCCTAAAAAAATATTTGTGATTATTACTAACATTCATTATATATAATTTTAATAATAATAACTATATAGTATTATGGATAATTATCACAAATTTTTACTTTCTAATAAATTTGAAAAATATCCAAATTCTTTGAAAATTACGTCTATACGTATTCTTCATATATATATATATATATATATATATATATATATATATATATATATATATATAGTAANGTAGTGTAGTAGTAGTAGTAGGTAGTAGTACCTAGTCTA